AAAACTAAGTTGACCCAGAGGCTCTTTAAATAGTAGTGATAACTACCGCCATTTATTGAGCACTTACTATATGGTTGAAACTATACTAGATACTTTACATACTTGGTTAATTTTTACAACTCTAAGAGGTGGTTATTTTTCCCAATTTACAAAAGAGGTAATTGAGGCCAGAGACATTAAGTAGCCACCTAAACTCACACAACTAATAAAAGATTGATTGGGATTAGGGTCCAGGTAAGTCTGATTCTGGAGCCCATGTTTTTATCCACAACATTATACTTAAAGATAATTTTTTTATAGGGGTGCCTGGGTGGTTCAGTTGGTTAAACATCCAACTCTTGATTTTGGCTCAGGTCATGATCTCAGGGTCATGAGATCGAGCTCCACATCAGGCTCCACGCTCAGTGGAGTCTGCTTGTCCCTCTCCTCCTCCACCCCTTGCTTGTGCACACACTCTCTCAAATATTTTTTTAAAAGATAATTTTTTACAGTAAAAATGGCACCTCATACAGAAAATATGAATGAAAAGATTCCTCTTTGTAAAAAATAAGTGTAAAATAGTAAGGATTCAACCCTTTACCTGCCCTTGTGGTGTGATCCAATAGTAAGTACACAGAGTGGAAGACCAGAAACCTCTGGGGAGAGCGCCAAAGCATGGACTTCGGCAACTAGCTGCCTGTTCCACAGTGCCCTCTAGTGGTCAGTTTATGCCATTCATGATTATTCTTAAATTTAAGAATGAAATGGGCAACAACCAAAGATTCAGTCACGGTCAACCTTGGATAAAGTTGATTAAGTCTGTCAAAATGTTTTAATATTTAGTCCTTATTCTCTTTGTGATACTTGGAAACATCCACCTTCAAGTAGTTTCCTCTGTCTTATCCCTGTTAGTCTGACTGCTACCTTGCTTTCTAATACACGACTTAATAATTATTAAGTAATAATTAATTACTAACTAATGTCAGTAAGAAACATTGATGAATACAAAAACTGGTGGGTTAAAGTGGGACGACGAACAGGATATTTGCAAGGTCTTGGAAAATCGCCCCACAAAATATTTAGTAAAAATGGAGGAAATTTTAACTTTACAAGGGAGAAACCTGACAATCATCAAAACTCAAGGTTAACAACATTAGAGATGGAACTAGTCAACATTATGTGCAATGAGCTGCATTGGGAAGAATGGCACTAGTCCTGCGGTACACCGGCCAGAAATGCACTCTGAGCTTACTCGTGGGGAGACAACAAATCCAATTTGAGGAATTTTTTACAAGGGCTAGTTTCAGAAATACCAGAGTCATAAAGGTTAAGGGAAGACTGAAGAACAATTTCAAATTCAAGGAGACTGGAGAAACATGACCACTGAGTACAGCACAGGATCCAGGACTGGAACCCTGTGCTGTGGACACCTTTGGGGCAACTGATAAAACCTGAGTGGGGTCTGAGTTAGGGTATGTGGGAGCTCTTTCTGGATCTTGCAACTAAGTCTGAACTTGTTACAAAATACAATTTGAAAACTAAAAGGCCCCATGCATAGGCAGTCCTATTTTGGCTTACAACAAGTTCACTGAGATTTTTCTCACCTTCAATCCTAGAAGATGTCATATTCCCTTGACAATAAGGGCCCACATTTTTTTCTTTACTGATAGAAATCTACCACACCTCTATGGGTGAAGCTGCAATTTTGGACCCTGAAATCTAAGACATGATGAGAGCTTGTGTAATCAACAAATCAACCCTCAAGAATGAAATTGAGACCACATGGATGGGAAGTGACCCCCAAGCCTATGGACAAATTCCTCCTTGGTCCAGACCAAAGTCTGACATTCAAGGCTGCAGATGAATCATTGCCTACCATCTTGGCACTAACAATGTAAACTAGAACTCCACTAGTACTCCATAATACACATGGAACTTAGCTGCCTTGCAGTTCAAATGCAGCAAAAACTGTTCTGTCCACTAATACATCCACTAACATATACAAATTTTCATCTCTATCATCAAACCTTGCTTCAGTCACACCTATTTTAAAAACTAGCCCTGCAGCAGCCTACACTCTAAGGCAGTGGGGCTCAAGCTTCAGTGAGGATTAGAATTACCTGGGGAACTTGGGAACACTATAAAAATACAAAGGCCCAAGGCCCTACCCCACTTCAACAAGCTTGGGCCTTTGTGTTCCTTACTAGTCTCCGAGTGATTCTGATAGCAGTTTTCAAACCAAAATTTGAGAAAAACTTACACAAGTCACCAATGCCAGCATACCTTCTGCCTTTGCTGCTCTCATTTTTGCTGAGGCCTCACCATCCCTCTAGGGCCCAGCACATGCAGCCCTGCCTCAAGAGAGGAAACAACCCCTGGTGGAAAAACAGCCACTCACCAGCAACCCGCCAAAGTGAAAATCCTTTATGGTCAGCACCTAATACAAGATCGTTTCAGCTTCAAACCACCCATTTTACCCCACTGGAGTATTCACTCACAGCATGTTCTTCCCAATTTTTATTCATTGTCTAGATACAGTGCTCCTCACCCATGCACTAAACATTTGGGAATTTTGAAGAGTCCAATACATAGCATCCCTGCCATTTACAACAGCGATTCTCAACCATGAGTGATTATTTTACCCTCAGATGACACTTGGCAACATCTGGAACCATTTTTGTCACAACTGGGGAAGAAGAGAAAGAAGAGGAAGGATGCTATTGGCATCTAGTGGTAGAGGCCAGGGATGCTACTAAATATTCTACAATGCCCAGGATGGTCCACACAACTAAGAATTATCCAGACAAAAATGTCAATAGTGTCAAGGTCAAGAGACCCTTATGTAGAGTAGTACCCATTCTAAACGAATTGCAGCATAAGACAAAAGCAGAAGCAGATAGGAGTCATACTATCATCTTTATTACTGTTAAAGATCAGGTTAAGAGCTATTGTTTATCTGTAGGCAAGAACCCCGGTAGACTCATCCACCTTGCCAGAGACTAGGTGATTGCATGCCTCCCTAAATGATGTCAGGCTTCTCTAAAACTCCTAGCATGTTGAAGCTAAGAAGACAAGGTCCTTGCAGGCTAACTCCTAGGAAAAAAAATTAAGAGCTGAACATGACCACCCATTTCCCATTGGATAAGTAAAAAGGTGAAAAGAGGGCACTATTACATTTGATCCCCCTCCAAAGAGAAAGAAGTAACAGGAGGAAAACATTCTCCCGCAAGGGTCAGAAGTTGGGGCAGCAGGGAGCGCAACAGGCTCCTAGTAGCTCCTGAGAACCAACCTTATATCTTTGGGGAAGTTTGCAAGCTAGCCGTTAAACCCTTGGCAGCTTGAAATCAGCCACAGTAGGAGTATTTATACCATGAAAAAAAAAAAAAATACCACAAAGCAGTGCTTTGTCTTTTGGAAAATAAAGTTGGATTTAAAAAAAAGAAAAAAGATGGGGCTCCTGGGTGGCTCAGTCAGTTAAGTCGCTGCCTTCGGCTCAGGTCATGATCCCAGGGTCCTGGGATCAAGTCCCGCATCGGGCTCCCTGCTCCGCGGGGAGCCTGCTTCTCCCTTTCCCTCTGTCTGCCGCTCTGCCTGCTTGTGCTCTCTGTCAAATAAATAAAATCTTAAAAAAAAAAAGTTGGATCCTTTTTTTGTTATGGAAACACTAAAATTGAAGATAGATGCAAGATTTAAAAGGAACAAAAAAACATAAAGTATCAAAAATATAATCATACCAAAGAAGGTCTTTCTAATCCATGTGTACCAATGACAAAAATCATAAAGGATATAATCAACATGACTACATAAAGATACATTATTTATGTCAAAAAAAAAACACCAATAACGGGAAAATTATAAACTGGGAAAATTATCTGCAAAATACATGACTAAGAGTAACCTCTTAACAATTCTTACAAATTTGTAAGAAAGACAAGCATCTCAATGGCAAAGCCTCATGTAAGTAATTCATAAAACACAAATGAGTCCAAAATTAATAAAGAAAACTTTAAACATACCAGGTTTTGCCTATCACAGTGGCAAAGCAAGAAGGCAGAACATAGCCAATGTTGGGAAGTATGTAAAGAGTACTACAGGAAAAAAAAAAATACCATGAAAAACTGCTGGCAAAGTGTAGGATGGTACAAACTTTTTGCTGCCAAAATGACTATACCCTTTGACCTCACATTATCAATTTGTTCTAAGAAAAATAAAGATGTATAAAGATTTAGTTAGACTACTATGGCCAATAATAAAAATAGGCTAAATTATGGTATATCCATTTAATGAAATATGATGCAAACACTAATATTGCTGAAATATTTGACATGGAAAGATGTGCATCATTCAAATTTTTTTAGTCTTAAATGGGGCTACAAAACAGTATATTCAGGATGAGCATGTTTTTGTGAAAATGACGTGTATGGAGTATACTGAGAAAATCTAAGAGGCTACACAGCAAAGTGTAATGAATATTTCCCTTTTTACTTATCTCCATTTCTACAATGTGCATATATTTACCTGTATATTTTGCCTTTTTTAATATTATTGAAGTATAGTCAATGTACAATGCATTATTAGTTTCAGGTGTACAACATAGTGGTTCAACAATTTTTTTACATTACACTATGCTCACCACGATACATAGTCACCACCTGTCACCATATGTCATGACAATATTATACCCTATATTCCCTATGCTGTACTTTCCATCTTCAAGACTTATTTTATAACTGGAAGTTTGCTTGTTTTTAATAGGAGTTAATGGAACTTGAGTTCAGTAGAAAAATCTTCATTTCAAGGCATCAGAGTTTAAACTGAATTTTGTAAGTAATCATTTTAGGTTTTTAAAATGCAACTGTTCAAAATGAAAGTTGGTCATTTTGTTTGGAACAATTTTTGTTTGAGAATCAAATGGTCACGTAAATCAGGAAGCAAATGGACAAAATTATAGGAAAGCAAGTGACAAAATAACTACAATCTTTGTTACACTGGTTATTGCAGTACAAAAAGTAAAACAACAGTTAACCAAAAACACTTTTATTTTAGTCTTCAAAGAACAAACTGTTCTTCTTTTTCCAAGATAATAATGATTAACTTACAAAAATGAGCATTTACAATGCATCTTCAAAACATTTCCCTTTAACGGGAAATTTAGCTTTACAGAATCCAAACATTAAAAGGTTAAACAAAATTTTTCTATCTTGTTGTCATTATAAGAAAAAACAGAGTTAAGTCAAGGAAATCCATTCATACTTCAGGACCTTCTCCTCCAGGAACCAGCTGCAGAGAAGGAAAAAGAGCTTATTAGTAACACCACCACCCACACCATCTAAAAACCCCTCCTCATCAATCAAAGCCACTGTGCCTCTCTGCCCCTCCCTCACATTCCCATATTCTCCAGGTCATTGCTTCTGTTTACAATTCCCAACATCATCAATTAATATTTAGAGCCTAAACAAGGATTCTTGGCAAACTAAAAGATTAAAAAGCCCAAGCAAACTAATCTCTAAGCCTATTGTCATCTTCAGTAGCTCAGCTTTAGAGTCCTGATCACAAGAGCATCTCCTTCCCAACTTAAGCACCACTGGGCCCTGAACATTTAGTCAAGGCAGGTAATCTGTAATACCTGCCTCACAAAAATGGGCTAACATCTTTAAAAAAAAAAAAAAAAAACAGCTTCACTGTCTTACCATTGTTATATTATTTCCATTGAGCAAAATTTGATCTAATTTAGTGATCCTTCTTCCTTCTGGTGTGATTTCACTAAATGAAGAGATAAAGTAAGAGTCAAGATAAATAATGATAGTCAAAGCCAACATTCTGATCCCTAAAAAGTTATTCTTGTATACAAATGAATGTGAGGTCATGCAATTGTATCTGTGGTTTTCAGAGACAAAGGTTAGCCACTGGATGACCAAAGGCAACACAGTGAACGATCTGGCCTAAGATCCACACCCACTAGGACTGATCTTCATAAAAGAAGCTGAAACTTGCCAAGGAGATCAAATATGAAATGGAATGTTTATTAGTTTCACTTTTTTACTTTTACTTACTACGAATCCCTATCCATTAAACAAATCTGTAATCAACTCAATTTTGAAAGCAGACACTGGTTATGATCTTTAAAACTAATATAATGGGGGGGCACCTGGGTGGCTCAGTCGTTGAGCGTCTGCCTTCGGTTCAGGTCATGATCCCAGGGTCCTGGGATCGAGCCCCACATCGGGCTCCCTGCTCAGC